ACTCGGGCGCCGGCTGCCCGGGCTCCGCGCCCGCCCCGGGGCTCTGTCCTTCGCCTCCCTCTCGCTGCTCGCAAAGAGCGCCAAAAAGTCGTGCTCCGAATCGCGCTCCGAGTGCGGGCACTTTCTTCCTGCAGGGCGCTGTTCCCTCGCGAAATTCACTCTTTGTGTGATTCGTTCATTCGTGCCTGGTTTTCTGAGAGCGCAGCGCGGGCTTTATTCTCAGGGGGTGTGGCGCCTCTTCCCCAAACCCGCCGCCCAGCCCCCGCCGCGAATGCCTTTTGTCATTTCACGCTGAAGAGGAGGGGGGCATCGTGACGCTGCTCAGGTTATAGGGAAACGAAAACAAACCGAGCGCAGACGCGTGGCCGGGGCACCGCCAAAGTTTCCAGGGCTTCGGGAACGGAAGTGCCAAGGAAACGCAGAAGGGTTCAGGATTGTGAGCTTAGAGACTCTCTCCAGAGTCAGGTGAGGCGACATAGGTGATTCCGAAAATGACTTTAGCCCATGAGCATAACAACTCATTGTAGGTTAGACAAGTACTCACCCGCTGTCTTCCTGGGTCCTCTCCCTTCTAAAAAATGTCCCAATCTTTTATTTTCCTGTAAGAACTTCTTCGAGGAAAATGTTCATCAGGGCAAATAGTTCCCCTTCCTCAAGAGAGTTACGGGGTAGGAGGGACGCTGAGGTAATCGTCCGAATACTTTTGATTTGAAAATGGACAAAACAAATGCAGTTTTATATTTGTTTAAAAAGTGTGCATCTGGACAGCCAAATTGCAAGTTTCAATTTAATGCAAGTGTAATAGGAGCACCAGCTGCCCTTTAATTGGAGTCCCGCAATAATAAACGCTTGCTTTTATTTCATTTTATGAGGACAGTTGTTGATAACACACGCATATGCAAGATCATCAGTGACAAGCTTCTAGCAATTCATGGCTGCTTCCTTGTACTCAACTGCTTTACCTGCGGACTCCGCTTGCCCTGCTCTACAGAAAGTGCAAAACGGTGCGGGGATATTTAAGCAGCAGGAGGTTGAGGAGTGAAGTGAATTCTCAGGCTAATTCTACTTATTAATTCTGCTAGACGGATTCAAATAAAATTGTCCAGCTAATTTTAGGCAAGAAATCAATCGTTGTTTGTTGAATGCAAGACAATAGCGGTAGGATCATAATGCTACGGAGAAGACTGGGTAAAACAGCCCTTCACATAATTGAGAAAATCCCCAATGGCGTTTGGCAAGAGCTGTGAAATTGATCAGGACAGTGTGCAGGGACAGTGTGTGACACTTTGTGATTATGGGTAAAATGCTAGCATAAGTCAAAACAAGCAGGAGTTCCTGATTATCTCACTAATTTTTAACCACTTCGCTGTACCTAACTTCCTTCAAACTGGCCAAATTGCCTTCCTGAACTTAAAATTGTCAAATTTGTCTGACATGTAGGAAGTGGCTTTGGCAGTCCAGGAACTACCGCAGCTAAAAGTAGGAGGTGTTGGCTACCACGGGAAGCTGGAGAGAAGGGCAAGGCTGAATTATATAACTTTATACCCAATGATCTAACAAATGAGGAACTGTTATCACCAAGCGTCAACAAAGGAGTCTTTATACTAAACATAACGTGGGTCAACACCAGTACTCTTACCCCTGTCCGCTACTGCAAGCCACATCTCCCTTGGGACACTCGGGCTTTCCCTAATAACACACCAACTGGCTCAAATTTATTGTTCTGGAATTGCTGAAATACCTGTTTTATAATAAATGTAAGGCAAATGCTAATTCTTGGGATAGGACGGCTTCAACATTTTCCCTGCTTTGAAATTTCGAAGTAGTGAAAATTGCAAATGAGGCTTTATCATCGTCTCTGGCACAGTGGAGAGAACAACCTTATAAACAAATTTCAGCCTGCTAAACTATCTGCCTTTTATCTAGGGTGTCCTGACCTCCACAAAAGACACTAGGCAAATTTCCATGCCACTGAGCCACTGGGGAGCATTTGCAAAGGCTGTAGGAAGTTGTTGTTCCCTCCCCTCAGCACTTTAAAAGGGCTCTTTTGCTCTTCAGGGTGGACTCACCTTGGAATTACTTTCTACTTTACTAGAGTGGATAGAACTACCCAACATTTTCTCTTCTGTTCTTCTCCTTAGGCATGATTAGGAAATGACCCAGAAAAAATAGGGCTACGTACTGGCTGGATGAGTTCTTCCCATAATGTATGTAAGTTATTGTCTTCTTATACCTGTCCCTCTTTTCATTGTGGGATTGCCTCAGAGCCACTAACCTAATGGATCTTTAAAGGTCAGTGTCTTGCAAAACTTGGATTCAAAATATCACTCCTGTCCCTCCACCCCAACAACTCAAATAGTCATGTACGCAAACTTTTAAACACACTTTGGGAACATTCTTCCTGCCCTCTTACATTTTAATGCTTGAAACTGACAATTATGCACAAGATGTAAGGCTGATACTCAGGTAAGGATATAGCAGCCTTTCAAGTAGCATGTTCTTCCAATAAAATATAATTAACTTTGAATGATGCAGAAAAGAATTCTAAAAGTTATGCAATGGTTTAGTAACAAAAGGATTATTGTAATCCACCACCAAACAAATGTTGCTGTGTTTTTAGACGCTGGATAGGTGGAAAGTTAAACTCTCTCATGTATCAATTCTCACTATATTGGATTAAGATTATCTTTTCATTCCTCTCCTAGGCCACGTAACTCATTTATTATTTTCTTAGATAATCAACCTTTACTATTAGACATGGACCAACAGTAAAGACTCTCCCTTCTGATTGAAATCCATGGAATCATTCGCATCAACTTAATGTAACAGCACTAGCACTATTTGCTGCTGCTGTGTTCTAGAGATGACGCTGCAGCCTGCAGTTCCACAGTGACATTTGTAAGCACTGCAGAAAGAAGTGTGTGGCCAAGGAAGGGTGGTTCAAGAGCTACAGGCATTAGTCATTATTCATTCATTCCTGAAAAGCCTTTTTCATTCAGAGTTGGGAATTTGAAGTTTGAGGTTTACACAAAGCTTTCAGCTAAAGAAACAGAAAATAAAAGCAGGACCTGGTTGTTTAAAAAGTTTGCATAATCAAAGGATGTTGACTTCCAAGGTAAACTCCCTGTAAAATGGGGCAGACTCTACTTCCTAAAGAAGAAAAGAAAGCGAAATCTAATAACTAGTGAAATTCCAAAAGAATTGCAAGCATAAATAATAAATTGATCAACAATTATCAGGTTGTCAAAAATTTTCTGAAATTCAGTGGTTTTTTGGTTTGTTTTTTAAGAGAAAAAATCAAAAACAAAGATAAAACAACACAAAAACTATAAAAAGAATACAGAATTTCAAAATAAGATGATAGGAAATCAACAATGGTTGTTGTATTACTTACTGTTACCTCCAAATTAGTTACTCAGATTACCAGATATAGGTATGCAAGATTGATCAAACAATTAAACATTACCTGTTCCTTTCAATAAACCAATAGAAATTAGTAGTAGTATTATCTTAGCTATCGTGTATATAAATATAAACATAGATATGTTCCTTCTTTCTTTTCTTCTTTCTCTCATCCCAGTTGTTCTTTCCTACTAAGCAGTTTCTTTCCTTTTCACAATATCTATTGTACCTTTCAGTGTTTCTTTAAAAACTTGGACAAAAGTTGTCAGAATTATTTGGGTATATCCTAATAAAAACAGAAGAAAACAGGACAAATGTTGAATAACCACATCTTCTGAAACACGTTGGTCCCTGCTGGATTTTCAAGGCAATTCCCCCACCAGTCTTTGAAGAATATATTATAAGAATTTTCCTTGATTATTGCAAAGTATGGTACATTTCTTGAAATTTTCCTCAGAAGGAAATGTGCTAGTAATGATACAGATAAAAATGATATAAAAAGATAAGAATAATACAAAAGGTAAGAATGCTATAAAAGGGGCTGGGGATTTAGCTCAGTGGCACATGCCTGCCTGGCAAGCGTGAGGTTGTGAGTTCAATTCCTGGTACCGGAAACCACCCCCTAAAAAAGAATGCTATAAAAAAGAAAAATTGAGGCCTGTTCTCACTTAAAAATATGAACACTATGATAGCAACCATTTAATGTGAAACTACTCCACACCAGGCACTTGCTAGCTCATTGGATTCTCACAACAGTCCCTAAGTATGCATTATGATGTCCCCATGCTAAAATCTGGTAAAATGACTCTTGTCCACAGTGACAAAATAAAAGCACTACTACATAGAAGAGCAAAGATTCGAAAGCAGTTTCCTCTGGTGACAGGACCAACGCTTTTGAGAATCCCATGCTAAATAAAACTACAGTGAGGTCCACTTCAGCTCAGACACTTTCCCCATCTTGTAAACTATCATGTCTCTCATTCAT